TTTGGCAATATTTGAACGGTCGTTAAGCCCGTTTCATCGACGTTCCATATTCGATCTGGAGTCACTTTATACTTCGTATAAATATTGTCGAGATTATTAAAAAAACTTTGTACTGTGTTCTCATTAAAAACGGTAGCTCTGGCATATGACGTTGCTTCTGGTTTCCTAAGTGCAATATTTTGGTGCCTATGTAAAAATCCGTAAATCCACCTTATGATGCCATTTTAGTATCCCTATTAAAGTTGTTGGGGATGTTATTGGCACAAGCAAATTCAAACGCCAGTTGACGAAGTTCCTTATAAGTGATCCCGAAAAATCGCTTTTCCATTTCGAAAATATAATCCACATTCTCATTTTCCTGTTCATCAGAAAAAAATATTCTGAATCGTCCTAGGTATTTTTCATTGTCTGTCACAACCTTATTTTTGTTTGTAACTCTCCTTTGCAAAGTACTTTTAGGCACGTTGTACCGTTCTGCGGCTTGTCGAATACTCAATTCTCCATTTCGAACTTTTTGGACAGCTTCTGATATGTCTTGAATCAGTGTTTTGCAGACTGCTAATATTTTTATAAAAACCCCGAAAACAAATAACCGGCCGTGGAACTGACACTACTAGGACTGAATGCATATGCCACTGACAGAAGTATTGTTATATGATAAGATTTCGCGCCCCACCACTAGATGTCACCACAGTGTTTAAATCATGCAAAAATATAAGTGTCCCTTTTTGGGAGACCGTCCTATCTTGGGTTACTCTCCCCTACCTGAACGAGACTCTGAAAAAGATAATAGCGATTCGGAGATTGAAAGTCATAAGTAGGAACATCATCCATGTATGTTTTGTAACGAATTATATTCCAGTTCCCGTGCGAGAGAAACATGAGTACGATGTCAGACTTGTTTGAAATGGGCCAAGACCGAATGTGCCGACGTATCTAAAACACCAACAATTGTGTTGATGAGATGGCATATGAAAAGTTTTTTTTTTATAAAAAAATTTATGATTTTTCAGGAGTAGTAATAAATAAGTGTCTTAAGTGTTCATTTCATTCCTTACAAATTCTGTAACTTCAGGTGCTACTAGTAATTAAGTATGGGACAAAAGTATGCCATCTCAAGCATATCTCCCCTATGACTTACCAAAGTTGTTTTTCAATTGTTTTCCTTGGAAAATGTTATCAAAAATTTAGATTTTTTGGTTTATACAGGGTGGTTCGAAATGTACTTGAAATGTCAGATACCTATCCTTGAAAATAGTGTATTTTCATTTTACCGAATGGCGCTTTTTCGATACGGGGTAACCTCCTCGAGATCACTTTTTCCTAGTTTTTTTCAAATGAAACACCTTGTAGACGAAGCCATACCAGAATAGTTACACTGTGGGCTTTTGGAAAATGTACCTAAGGTTTGACTACTTGATTCTTATCGGAAATGTACCTAATTTCTGAAGTACCTATTAAAGTGTCTTTGAATCCAAACAATAACGATTTGTTGCAGCAAAGTTAACAACATCAACAGGGAACTGCTTCGATTCCCTTTTTTTTTTTCAATTTCTTGGTTTCTCATAGTGGACTCGTCCTTCATTTATCCCAAAAAAACATAAATCTAGAAAAAGACATTTCTTCTCCAGTATCAGTGTAATGTATAAAATTGCAACTTCAAGTGAATATTTATATCACTTCACGACATCACCCTCTTTCTCACACATTTTGTTTTCTTTCAGTGTTTACCACTTCCTTTTTCTCGAAACCTCTTTCTAGTCGTACATTACTCTAATCAGAATATCGAACTGCATACATTATAATGTTTGAAAGCAGTTTGTGTAGCATTTGAATGTCATAAGAATTCTCAACATACTTGACATTCAGTAACCAAGAAGGTGAATAGAAAAAGAAAAATAACGTTTCTTCTCAACGCTGCAGAAAGCGATGATATTGTGGTATCACATCATCACAGTCATTATCGCCCAGTATAAAGTGTTAAGAAGAAACAAAATATAAAAAACAATGTGTGTGAGTTTGTTGATTGATTTGTCAGATATTAATATAGATAGTTATCAAAACTTCGTAAATATATTTCTATTGAAGAAGTTATTAGTAGTTATCTGCTAATTACAATATTGTGAACTGCTCAGAAGGGAAGTTGTGATTGATACATTTCTGAATGGACAGCAATCAATGTCCCCAGACTTCAATCGTTCAGATTCATCTGGAGATACCTATGTCAAGAGATGGGTCTACCTATAGGAAAGTTTTTTAGCTCTATTTCAATTGAAGGTTGGGAAAAATTAAAGCTAGATTTGATTTGTTCTTAGCTCAAAATGAAAGAGTGTTTGAACATCATTCGAAGATTTATGCTTTTGAAACAGTTTCAGTTCATTATTTTACCTGTTATTTCTAGCGTATTTCAATAGAATGTATGTTCCAACAAGGTATTTCTACGAGAAACCTGATCGCGAATTTTGATTAGCCCTGTATGGATAAAAACACCACTAATTATAACTAGAAAATGAAAATACACCATTCTCAAAGATACATTGTTGAAATAATTTCTCATAGGATCCAGTAGGACATATTGTCTGTCAAATGAACCCATTTTGTGACATATCATGACATAAATCTTACCAAAACTTTGAAAATAGTCATAGAGAGACGTGTAATATATAAACTGATAAAAAACGTTTCATTACTTTTATATTTGAAAGGACATATAACATAACGTACACATTAAAATATGACGTAAAAGTGACATAATTCACAAACATGAATATATAGTTGAATGATTATTGCTTGATATATCAATCAATAGATTATCATTTGTTTAAAAATTCATCATTGCTATGCAAACAATGGTCGAAAAGTATATCTCTAAAAGCTATTTTGAATTTAATATTATTCAGTGAACACATCTCTGAAGTCAACTTGTTGTAAAGTTTCACATTTATGGAGTTCGTATTGGATTTGATTAAATGAAATCGCGGCAATGCTATTTGATCAGCAGATCTATCATCATGAGTGTGAGTATCGGAGGTGAAAGGACAGTTTCTTTTTATTTTCGTATATTTCATAGAGTTTGGAAATTTTAAATACATGGGAGCGTCATTATTCTCAGTTTGATAAATAAGTCGCGGCAGTGCTTACCTACTCCGATTATCAGACGTAATGCCTTTTTTGAGACCCGATAATTTTTGCGGCATGGCAGAAATTACCCCATAAGATTGTGCCATAACTAATTCGGGGGTGAAATAAACCAAAATATATATTCCTCAGTATTTATGGATTGACAATACATCGTAGCCTTCTTATTAGAAACAAGAAAGGTACTAGATAGGAGTTTCGTTTCTGACATGGTGGTGAACGGACGTGCCGATAGCGACCGTTCACAAAGAAGGTACGCGGACGCCATTGTTGGAGGTGGAACTCAGTTCGTGTTGTATATGTCCGCCGTTATATAACGTGCAAGCAAAAGTTACAAAAGTTATAGTAAACATTGTTTTAGTGGTTTTAATTAAATGGTGCTCCCATTCACGCCGGTTGGAGGCCGGGGTGGACCGGATGTTCACGTGGGAGTGCTAAAGTGGAAGTGAAGTTTAAGGACCCCTTTATTCACGCCGGTATCCAGGCCGGGGTGGTTCGGATAACCACGTAAAGGGGTCATATATGTGAATTAAAAAATCAGAAGGTCTCCCGAGAAGGAGGCGATCCAATAAATATATACGTAGTAAATCAAAATGTCTCCTGATTAGAAGGCGACATTTAAAAAACACATTGTTTTTTTTTTATTGTAAAAAGTGTGACAAAAAAGGGGTGGCAGCATTGCTTCGAGCAAGACAGCTGCGCCCCTCCCGACAAAGCTTCTGTCAAATTGATGTCAATTTGATAGGAGGAGCCTGGACAAATGCGCCCGAGGGAGTTCCGTGGTGGTCGTGGTAGTGGACGGACGTGCTGATAACGTCCGTCCACAAAGAAGGTACGCGGATGCCATGTGCTATCGTGGGGCTCCGTTTTGTGTTGTGTTATATTAAAATTGAAATGTGGAGTGTCTGAAAAATTGATGAATAAGTGGCTCCTTTTATTCACGCCGGTATCCAGGCCGGGGTGGTGGGGGCTATATATGTGAAAAATTACCAAAAGGTCTCCCAAGTAGGAGGCGACTTCAAAAAATGAAATTGTTTTTATGTTAAAAAAAACTAGCGTTTTTTATATATTAAGTTAGAAAAAAATGGGTGACAGCATTGCTTTGTGCAAGACCGCTGCGCCCCCCGACGAAGCTCCTGTTAACCAACAGGAGGAGCATTGGTCATATGCGCCTGAAGATAGGAAGCAACGACCATCTAAAATAGAGAGAGAGAGAGAAATGCGCCCGAGTGGGAAGCAACGTCCATATAATTAGAGAGAGAGAGAGAGATACTAGATAGGTTTGCTTAAATTTTCTGTATGCATATACCAATTAGGGAAGTCATCGATTATAATACCAAGAAGTTGGCAATGCTCACCGGTTGGTACTTTAAATGGTTGGTTTTTGAGTCCCCTGATCATTTAATTGTATGAAGTTCGCAATGTAGATGGATGCATCAGCCATTTTGGTGGTTCGAGGATCAGAAATATTTTTACCTATTTTTACTAGTTTGTTGTCTATCAGATAGGATGAAAATAGTTTGAGAGGTACACCTTTCATGCCGTAACACTCTAACTTAAACGACAGAAAGTCATGTCAGACACAGTCGAACGCCTTGGACAAATCGCACATAGTGATAATTGCATGTTGCTTGATCTCAAGACCCTCGACAATGTGTCCAACGATCCTCAGTAAAGCCCTTATTGCTGATTTGTTCTGCCAAAAACTATATAGGGTGTTTGATATACCTGAACTTGTCGTTTTCGTCAGCCTATCTTTCAATAATACCCCCACTATTTTTGAAAAAATACATATGATTGAAATTGGTCGAAAGTTGCTTGGAATATTGGGATCATCTTATTTCTTTTAGAAAAAAACTACATATATGAATCAAATTTATTTTCAGTCATTCTTAAAAAAGTATAAAAACTATACATTCGTTGTCATCTTCCTTTCCATTCAACCATAAAAACAGTCACTCTTCTATATAAAATATAAAAATAATTACAAAACTATAACAAATTATATCTATAAATATTACAAAAATTAAATAGTTCATTGTATATAAATATTCATGTTGTACAAAAATACAAAAATTTGCAAGGTTTGTTTCCCTTGAGATATATTGAATGTCAACAAGTGATTTCCAAGAAATATGAATTTTTTTGTTTTCAAAAATATAACATTTCTGTTCATGATATTATTATTACTGAGTAAATATTGTTTTTAAACTATATGATTTCATTCTTGTTTCAGAGTGAAAAAAATGTTCTCACAATTAACATGAGATATTGATAATCACTTATTGAATTCATAAATTGAAAGAATTTGTCAAAAAACTTGTTAGTAGAAAAAGAAAATAAAGAATATAATGGCGATGTATTTCATCAATAAATTTCTACATACAAAGTAAGAATACCTAATCATATAGATATATACATTAACAAACTGTCATTCATTCTCTTGACATATCTTTTGTATAATCCGGTCAAGAGGACGAACAATGTAGTCTAGAACTGGACATATAATTAAAGTAGATACAAGGGGTTATCGTTGAAACTTGCAATACTGCAGAATCGAATAGGTTTTCGTGTCTTGAAATATTTAAGTTAACTTGGAATTCCATCAAACTAAGGAGCCTCACCTGATTATATAATTAGCTGATAAATATTGAAATTCTCAAATGAAATATTATGATCAATCAACTTTTTTCACTTTGTACTTTTTGGATAAAGTACAATATTGTCCCTTCTGAAATTATTACCAGTTAGATCGTGAATTTCATGTTATGAAATCAAAGAGCATTTCCGGTAAATATTGAAATTCAAATATTTATTTTATTTGAGCGAAATGTTCAAACATTTCATAATTGTTTATTTGATTTAGCCATTAATCTTCATATACGAGTATCTACATTGGACGGCAGTTCATAATACAGTTAGATACTTAACAAAAATAAACACTCGAAGTCTCACAGGATCTGAAAAAGTCCATTTCGAATGTATGCACAGAAGTCCATGAGAAAAAATTAACGGCGGGGTATATGATACTTGAATAGGCCCTCATTCTCCTATATGACCAGATAGTAACAGTATTCTCTCATTATTCTTCTTTTTTTTTTGTCCCTTCAGTATCATATACCCCTTCGATCTCACACATTTTATCTATCATAAATTAACATTTATATGGTACTTAATACTTAATGTTAACAAAAAATATTCACTAGATATTCGTTTGCTACTTGAGCATTAAACAGAAATGACCAGATTAGTTCATTGACCCTCACTTTCACTGTCACTTTTATCTGAAAAAGTTAGTACGTTAGTAAGGGCGCGTATACACTAGGCTGACGGAGACAGACGAAAAGTAGCGATTTTGTTCGAACGTTTTGATGAAAAAACAGTTTAATTCGATCTGGTCAGTGGCCCCGAATTTTTTTTTATTATTGAATATGATCAATGGAAAAAATTATTCGGCAAGCTGAAGAATATTTTATTTTGAATGAATATTAAGTGCTCGTGGAATTCAATATACGATATCCCTAAAAAAGAAAATAAATCAATGGGAATTATAACTGGTCTCTTTTGCATACCATACTGAATCTTGGTCACTGAATCATGATTCATTTGTTCAAACTATTCATGTATGTTATATTAAGTGATCATAACTGGTTTCAAAATTATTTGGCGAAGAGCAATTTGTCATTATAGCAGAAAAAAAAAGTTCACCTGGAAATGTTATTAGTTCTGTTCCCCAAGATTCTATTGTTGGATTTTTTTTCCTTAAATGTAAATGAAATCCCTGTCCCATAAGAGAGGAAAAATGTTTGCAGATGACATAGTAATAATATGAAGTGATATATCCGAGAAATTCAAATTAACATATGTTGAGGGACAACGAAATTTTCTTTAGTTTGTGATATGTTTCTAGAAGTTTCCATTTTGCAAAAAAACACTCCGAATCCAGGACTTCACTTTTACAAACTCAACTCGCTAGATATTGCTCCATTGGAAGGATTTTTATATTGAAACACTCTTCTAAATTGAATGACTTCTAAGAAATCGTATCAACTTCTATCAATTAAATATTCCTAAGGAAACTAATATTTCGAATAAGATAATAATGAAGAACTCTGGTCCGATTGCCGAACAGATGAAGTGATCAATTATCGACACAACATGATGGGTTGAGAAGTAAATAGAAAAGAACAGATAGAATTTGTTAATCTGTGTGAAACCAAATGTCGGTTAGAAATTACTACGTTCCAGAGCCAAACATTTGATATTCATTCAACTCATTCTACTGCAGTAACACAATTATATTTCGTAACTCACCACAATTTGATATCTTTCCTGAATCTCTATTGAAATTACTGAAGCTTAGCCCGTTCACCGAACATATGAAGTCCGTTTGTAGAACAGATGAATTGATCAAGAGGTTTACAAATTTAATTTCGTTAAGAAGTTTCAATATGCACAAAAATTGTCGACGAAACATGACAACATGAGTGATTTTTTGAAAGGAACCGTGATTTTGTGAATTTATTCCAGTTTGAACATATTAAAAAAAAAGATTAATTAGAAGTGAAAATGTAACCGAAGAAAAAGACATACTCATAATACTTGACAGTCAAAAAAATAGTAATTATCATAATTGTGTACATAAAAACACATATAGGAGAACATTACAAAGTTTTAAAGCAATAAATAATTTTTAGCAATTATTAAAAATTTTTGTTTATTAAAGTTTGACAAGTTTTGGGTAGTTCATTGTAGCTAGATTGATACCTTTGAAAAATAGTTGAATTTCACATTTTTTCCAACTTCCCAGAAACTACAATGGTTTATGCAGAGAATTGATTATACAAGAAATATTCATATATAAATATACTAGCCTTTACCCGCGGCTTCGCACGCATTTATGCCATTAAATAAGTGTCAGTACAATAGAAATGAATCAATATGAGACCTATATTTTAATGTTTGGCTGAAATTATAATTTTTTAAAATTTATTACATACAATGAAGTTTCGAAAATTTAAAATATGCTTTATTGAATTGCAACAACAAATGTTGAAATAACTGAGTGGCATCCAACCATAAAAATGACACCTAACCTAAAAATAAAAATGACAGAAGAAAATAACAATAAATATAGATTTGAATAGGATGGCGATCGTGGAATATGATTTTGATTGTCAGGTTGGCGGGAATTCGGTCAAAATGTTAAAGAAAACCAATTTCTAAATTGTCGACGTTTCGAAACTTTATTGTTTCATATTCAGTACTCTGAAGTATAAGAACAAGACAAGAACGTCGACAATTTAGAAGTTGGTTTTCTTCAACATTTTGACAGATTAATAAACCTCCGAAGAAGTCAGCTACTCGTGCTGGCGAAACGACAGCCTTTAGACCCGAATGAAAATAGTGACACTGAAAATATCGGCCTCGAAAGCCTTAACCAATTTATCACTCCATATTTTTTTACTGATCGCCATCCCTCTGTAGATGCATGTATAACAATTAATTTCGAAACTAATCATGAACTAAACCTTTGATACCTACATTATACATTTTATTTAGAAGAGTTGTATGGTCCACGGTATCAAATGTAATTCAAGTACTTTTCAATACCATTGCAATAATATTATTTAAAATGATGTTGAACTGAAACGCAGTTTTTCGAATAGTCTCGCTACTTTTGTGTACCCCCGTCCGAGCTCTCCTCGCGTATTTTTCTCAACAAAATTCATCATCATCGTTACCTTTTTTGCCTGGATAGGCATGTCGTTTCAGCCTATCGTACAAATCGTCTTTGGTGCCGTATATGCTGGCATTCGATCTGGCTAGGCTGTTCATCTTGCCATTGGCGCCGTTGTGGAGGCTCTCCTTCATGTAGGTTTCGTTATAGAAGTTCGGCATCTCCCAGCCGTCTTCTTCGTCATCGTAGTAATGCGCGTATGTCGAGTGATGACTGGGAGCTATGCTCTCGGCATACGGGGTCGGAGCGCCATAGTAGAAGTTCACTTGGGAACCGTTTTGGTCGGTGGCCGGAGTTAGCAGCTTCTTGGGTTGTTTGCGGCGGTTAGCTCTGCAAAACAATTTTTTCAGATATTTAGTAAGAACAATACGGTGAATGTTTCAGGTTCATACTTCCATTATACAGAAAAAGTTTCAACATATTTGAAATCTATGAGAAAAAAACTAAGCAGTAAATGAAGAATTCGCGTTACTGTTCATATCAGTGTATCACGTCCAGCACAAAGAGCAGTTTTTTACAAAAGAGCTTCTAGAAATATTCAGATAGCAAGTAGGTGTGCTAGTTCTAGAGAACTATCCAAACTTCTGAGAATATTAACTCTCCGGTGCATTTATATACTAGATGTTGATCTTGATGAAAATGGATCAACAATCGTTTATGGCTTGAACAAAAATATGTATTTCATTGGAAATTCAACTTTGTTTGAAATACCAACTCATAGACTGGCTAGATCCGAATCAAGTTCCATTGTTATGGGTTAGGTTAGAACAGTATGGTGAATGTTACAGGTTCGGACTTTCATTATCTAGAAAAGGTTTCAACATATTTGAAATGAGAAAAAAAAACAGTGAATAAAATATTTGCGTTATTGCTGTATTCTCATGCGAAATTTTACTCAACAACCTTTTACAACATATCTGCTTGTGATGTATCACGTGAAGCACGTGATACAAAAGAGCTTCCAGAAATATTTAAATAGCAAGTGGATGTGCTAGTTGTACATAACTATCCAAACTTCTGAGAATATTAACTCTCACGTGCATTTATATACTAGATGTTGATCTTGATGAAATTGGATCAACAATCGTTTATGCTTCGAACAAAAATATCTATCTCATTAGAAATTCAACTTTGTTTGGAATACTAACTCATAGACTGCCTAGATCCGAATCAAGTCCCATTGTTATGAGTACTAGACTATTTAGAAAATTGTAGAATCGTATCAGAGAAATGTCGCTGAAAGAATTCAAACTATTTCTTCCAAGTGACAAAGCCTACTACTCTACAGAGAAAAGATTTTCTGAATAATAATAATAATATTGTTTATTCAAAAAAGTTCAAAATTTTACAATTGAAGTACATAAGCATATTTGATAATTGTTGAATAAACAACGGCATCACTGAAGCAATATAAAAAATATTGCTTATATGTGATATAGCCAACATACAGAATAATTTAACGAAATAAT